CTAGGTTACTCAGCTCAAACCTCCCTTTTCCTGTTTATTCTTGAAAAGGAAGATAATCTTTTCTTCTTTTTCAGTTACCAAATGTTGTGAAATTTAGAATACACAATTTACAAGAAAAAAAAGTTTCTTACATCCCCAAGATAGTTCCGTTGGGTGTATATTTTTTCCTTCCCTGCTGTGGTCAGGATCTGTATAAGTTTCATCATTTGTTTTTCTGGCAGAACTGCACACAGGCTTTGGCCCGTAATAGTGCCCAAACCCACAGTCTGATTAAAAGCTGAGCTGGAGCTCAATAGATAATTCTGATGAGTCCAAGTGCACGCATAACCTTGTGCGATTCTCTGCTTTGGTATTTTTTTAACTCAATAAATATTTAAAAAATCCCCTGACTTTTAACTCTGCAGAGAAATATAGCTATAATAGCAAAACATTTATTTTTATTACAGGGAAAATTAATGGGTGCTTGTTCTTATTTAACAGTTAAGTGTGAAAAGCCTGAGAGAGAAAGGATCTAATAATCTTAGGGTCTCCTGTCATGTACTTACAAATATATTTTTATTTGGAGGATGGAAGGAAACAGCTTTGAGATGTAATTCACATACCGTACAGCTAGCCCAGGTGAAGTGTACAGGATGGGGGTTTTAGTCTGTTCACAGAGTTGTTCACATCATCAGTTATAGAATGTTTTTGTTACCCCTCCGAGAAACTCTGCACTCAGTTGCAGTTACTTCCCACGCCCTGCACTCCTGGCCCCGAGCAGTCACTGATGTACTTTTTCTCTCCTTGGCTTTGCCTGACCTGGACATTTCATATTAATGGTATTAGACAGTAAGTGGCCTTTTGGGTCTGGCTCCTTTCCCCTCATCTTCTGTTTTCTAGGAGGCTCATCCGTGTTGTAGTACGAATTAGTATTTCATTGCTTTTTATGCCCGGATAATAACCCATTGTGTGGATAGACCACATTTTTTTTGTATCCCTTCATTAGCTGATGGATATTAGGTTTTTGGCTATATGAATAATGCTGCTATGAACATTCATGAATATTTGTTTTCATTTCTCTTAGATGTATACCAAGGAGTGAAAATGTTGGGTCAGCTGGTCACCCTGTGTATAACCATTTGAGGAATTGCCCAAAATTGTCTTCCATGGCAGCCATGCCATTTCACATTCACAGCAGCAACACACAAGGGTACCAACCTCTCCATGTCCTTGTCAACACTTACTGTTATCTGTCTTTGATTACAACCCTCGTAGTGGGTGGGAAGTAGTGACTCATCATGGTTTTGATGTGTGTTTCCCTGATGGCTAATGGTGTTAAACATCTTTCTGTGTGCTTTTTGCCTATTTGTGTATCTTTTTCTGAGAACTGTCTATTAAAATTCTTCCCTCTTTTTAAATTGGGTCATCTTTTCATTGTTGAGTTGTAAGAATTATTTAATTATATTCCTAAGTAAATCTTTTAAAATTCCTTATTCTCTCATATCTTGATCTTTAACATATGAAACTGTATAACCAGGGCATCCCATTTCCCTGCCTCATTTATTTATTCAGACAGTGTTTACTCTCCATCTACTGTGTGGAGGATATTGTGCTCTGTGCTCTCAAGTATATAAAACAAATGAAGCATCCTTGGCCTCAAGGAGCACAAAAGCAGAGTAGGAAGGGAAGTTCTGTAGTGATAAATCTCTGTGGAAGAAGAAGTTCAGAAGAAGAGATGACTTTCAGATTGAGGAAGCATGCAAGACAACCTAAGGGAGGAGGCATGTAAGAGGCCTTTGCACAATGTGTAGGATTTAAATACAAGAAGATTGGGGGAAGACGCTGAGCAGAGATCTTGAGATTAGACAGCGAGGTCTCTGTGGAATGGTTATGAGTCTAGTTTAATTCGTAGACATGAAGTTTTCAGAGCTTAAAAAGAGAAAAACCAGGAACAGAGATGAGAAAGGTAGTTGGGACCACATGTTGGTTTTGAATTCAGAGCAGTCCAGGGAGTATTTTTTCAGGGACTAGATGTTTGAGGTTAGGATGAGTTGATGGGCTCAGAACAGTGTCTTGGGAGGCTGAGGGTACAGAACCATGTCGTATGATGGGCTGAGGGGGTGACTGGGCAACACCAATGTGTTTCTGTCTCAAAGACTGACTTGTGCTGAGAAGACAAGAAGGCCTGTAGCCAAACTCCTGTGAAAATTGTTCCATCTCATGGTTTCCAAATTTATTTGACCATGAGTTCACTTTTTTTTTTTCCAACATATTAACATCTGAGGTGTACATAGTTTGAGTTTTGCTGCATTGGTTCAGTATTACATAAGCAAATAATTTCTTTAGTAAAGGTTGGCTGGTTGGTTGGTTACTGGTGGATTTGATGGGTTATAGGGTTGTGGATCGCAGAGTCGGATCACTAGTCTTAGGGGCCAGCGGAATGTCATATGTCAGCTGGCCTGTCACCTTGCTGTGCAGAGGCCCTTGAGGGGAAGTGCGCGCCACGGTTCACCTGGGCCCTGAACAGAGGGGGAGTGCCCTGCGAGCGTCTTGTTTCCCAGACTGAACGTTCTCAGCTTCACTGAAATAATTTTAACCTTCCTCTGCCATATATGCAATAATGATAGAAAATCCCGGTTTGCAGTACAGGCTGTTGAGTTGGGGTCCTCAAAGGTGGAGACCCAGAAACGAACGAAGGCATGTGACTGCCCAGACCTGTTTCTGTCTGTCTAGCTGTGGATTCTTTACTTCTTGTTCCTTTTAGTTTTTTCCGCTGAGTTCCTTTGCTCTAAGCCATGTGTAGGGCTTGCACAATGCTTAGCAGGTGTGACTCGGGTTAACTGTTAACTGCAGGACCCTGAGTAGTTCACTCCTTGGTGGGGCACAGTTTTCTCACCTGTCGAACGAGGGCATCCGTGTGTGCACAGCCCCTTCCAGGGCCACCAGCAGGCAGTCCTCATTATCCCTGGGGCAGTGGGTCAAGTTACCCCGCAGTCCCCGTGGGAGAACGTGTTGTTCCTTTACTCCCCTCCAAGTTAGAAATCTCCAGTGTTTCCCTAGGATTCCTGTGGGTTTTTTCTCTCACTTTCTGACACCAGCGATTCAGTCTGAAAGATAAGCAGTACATCAATTTGATGGACTTAAACTGCAAACAAACCCATGAACTTATACTAAGGTGGAATTTAGAGAGGGAATGTTCTTTCCCCAAGAGTTCTGCTTTCCGCCTAACAGCCTGTGCTGGTGGTATAGTGGGTGACGACTCCTTTTTTTGGAGTGATTTGAATTTGTTGCTGTGGTGGTGGGTTTCCAGGGCACCTGCTGTTGCTGCACTTCTGGCATCTGGTGAAATGGCTCCCGAAGCCCCAGGGTCCACAGAGCCTGAGCGCTGTCATCCCTGCTCACCCTGCTGAGGATATGGAGAAAGGGGCAGAGGGCCTGGAGGCTCTATGCCATGCTGGTGGGGTTTGATCTGCAATGGCTGAGTTCCTGGGGTGTCCCCCGGGCTCCTCCGAAAATTAGCTGGGCTTCTGACACTTCGCATGGGAAACTCCCACTCTCCTATCTATAGAGGAGGTGAGTGCAAGAAAGGCAGATGTATTTGAAAATAATACTTTCTCATTTATCAAGGTCTGAATATTAGCATTGCTTTTTTGTTTTTTTCAAACCAAAAATGACTAACTAGGAAGTAGAGGGCAAGCAGAATCGTACTGGATTTCTGAGTATAGCAGGCCAGCATAGGGCCTGTTTCTTAGGTATTTCATTTAAAATGGAAAGTTCCAGTTTGCTTTGGGGCCAGAATCCCTAAAAGAAATCCTGAATGGAGGTGTATTGTGGGTCACTGTATATTTGCTAGTTTATATCTTGCTGACTAAGTTGGCAAATTTTTTTATTTTTTCTGGTGAACATTCAGAAGGCTTTCCCCCCCTTCCTTTCCCTAACAAAATCGTATTTGTTGTGTGTATGAAGCAACGACTGTTAAAATTGTCCACACATCTGTGATGATACGAAAATTAGTGATGGCAAACAGCAATTTCTTTTTTTAGGTACCACAAGGCCTCAGATGAAGTTGACTTTACCCAAATATTACTCTCAAATTTTGACCAAGTGGAAACAAAATTGGTCAGGCCTTAGAGACTAATATGAACAGCCCAACAAAAGGGTTGTTATTTGTGAGAAATTTAGGTCCCTCCCCATATGACTTAGGAAGCTTGACGTTTTCTTTTAAAGCATTTATTACTCTTGTTTATTTAGAAGGTGTGTAAGCTTTATTGTAATAAAGGGTTAAGATTGTTTTAATTCATAATGTACAAAGTCACCACCTAGCACAAAGCTTTTTTAAAATAGGAATAAAACCTTATTTTAACTTTCTGGGCAAGTATGTGAATTATTAACGCATAAATTTTCTTCATTCTTTAAAAAAAATATGAAAAACATAATTAAAATGTAACAAGCAAGAAAAGTGACCTTCTAGTAGTATTCTAATGATCTCGGCATTAGGCCATTCTCCTACAGGTATGGAGTTGAATGCACACAAATCAAAAGACCTTTTATGTTTTAGATTAACTTTTGAGATGATTTATAGTCAGTACTTTTTTCCTTGTCTGTTACTTTATTGCAACTTTTCATTTTAATCTCCAAGGAGTTACTGAAGAAATGGTAATTATGTGACATGATGGAGGTCTTAGCTAAGGCTCTGGTGGTAATTGTTTTGTAACATAGAAGTGTATGAAATCAACACGTTGTACACCTTAAACTTATACTGTGTTAAATGTCAGTTATATCTCAATAAAGCTAGTGGGGAGAGAACGAGTTATTGTACTAGAAAGCCACATTTATGTAAAATGTCTCATGCTTGGCAGCTAACCTGATGCTTGGACTGGGTCTGAGAATGGCAGGCAGCCCATCACACTGCCCAAACTTTCCACTGGGAGTAGCTTCGCAAGGGGCTGGGTGGGGGCGGCTGGGGGACCGAGGCAGGGGCGTTCTCCTGCTTGGTGACTACATCATCTCTCTTTGTGTAGGTGAAGCTGCTCTCAGGGGGGAGCCCAGGATGCAGACCCTCCCGGTGGCGTCTGCCCTCACCAGTCACCGCACAGGCCCCCCGCCCATCAGTCCCAGCAAGAGGAAGTTCAGTGTGGAGCACGGGGACGCCGACCTGGCCTGTGATAATGACCATGCCTCCAAGATGAGTCGTATCTTCAGCCCCCATCCGTAAGTGCCCTCTTTCTGATGGGTGGGCTTCTGATTTTGGTTTGTGTGTGCTCCACGCCAGGGCCATGTCTGTCTTGGAACCCATGCTGTGAAGTGAAGGATGAATACGGTGCGTACCTGCCAGGAGGGGATATTAAACCGATGTTGGTAACTCATGAAGAGATGGCATCTTATTTCCTTCCAGCTAACCTGTTTGACTGCCAGTTAATTAATACCCTGTGTTAATTTTCCCTTAGAGTTTCTTGGGGTGTTGTTTGAAATCTTTGCCTTTTCTTGCCTTGTACCCTGATGGCTATTAGGAGAGTCGATCTTTGAGGAATGTCTTTGTGCTGGGGAAATGGAAGGAAAATTAGCACCTGCTTGAACTTCTGTAAAATGTTTTGCTTAGGAGACTAGAATTGTACACATTAAGGGATACACTAGCTCCCCTATATCTGCCGATAGGGTATGTTCCAAGACCCCCTAGTGGATGCCTGAAACCATGGATAGTACCAGACCCATATATCCTGTTTTTTCCTATACGTACCCTCCTATGCTAATGTTTAATTTATAAATTAGGCACAGTGAGAGAGTAACAACAATAGCTAATAGTAAAGCAGAATGATTATCACAGTATATAATAGCTAATAATAGAATGATTATCACAATATAGTAGTAGTAGAAGTCATGTGAATATAGTTTCTCTCTCAGAATTTCTTACTGTCCTGTGCTCCCCCTTCTTGGATGTGAGGTGATGAAATGCCTACATGATGAGATGCATTGAGGTGAAGGATGTAGGCATTGGACACAGCATCAGGCTGCTGTTGACCTTCTGAGCACATCTCAGAAGAGAAGCAGGGTTGTCTGCTTCTGGACAGCAGTTGACCGTGGGTAACTAAAACCACAGGAAGTGAAACCGAGGATAAGCAGGAGCCACTGTATCTCACTTTGTGTGTTCACAGTATAAACCCGAGACCTTGTCAAAGTGGGAAAGATGGCGTTTTGTGCACGTAGTGGTGTGCTCATCACATCTGACAGGACCAGCCTTGGGTCGGGAGAGCTGGGTGCTGGTCCTCCGTCTGCCAACGCTCTACAGTCATGGTAGGAATTGATACAACTCTCCAGGCTTCAGCTGCCTTACTTGTGAAATGAAGGAAGGGGTTGAAACAAAAGTTCTCTGCATCTTTGCAACATTACCACGTTTATATTTGGAAAACAGCTTGCTTCTGTGCAGTGTATTCCGGCTTGCCCTTTGCACTCTCTTCTAACACAGGCGCGCCTTGCAAAGGGAGTGGAATGTTTCCACATGTTTTCAGGAATTGGAGACACTCATCCGGCTGCCCAGGGTGTCCGTGCTGGCTGTCGTGTAGCCAGTCGGTGTTATCAGAAGGGATGAGGTAGCCCCGATTATCAGAATATGTAGCTTTGCACATTCAGGTAAAAAGTTCTATTCCTTTTGCCCCTCCTCATGCATGAATTAATGTTTTGTAATTACGCAAGATGCTTGGCTTCCCCAGTTCCAATTTCCAAGGGTGCTGCCGTCTCTGGCAGGAATGTGAAGCTCAGAGCATTCCTGCGTCCTCACTGGAGGAGGAGGCCCTGCTCAGTTAAAGGGGCCAAAACCGCCAGCAGCCTCTGCTGCCTCAGCGCCGGCAGGCCTCAGATTCCACACATTCCAGCCCGCTTGGGCTGTTGGGCTCAGTCATAAGACACACTGACAGAGGTATTTATACTCAAATAAATCACTGTAGTGTTAGTCAGAGGCTGAGCCTGCAGTCTGGAGCCCTGGAATTTGCTACAATCAGGGATCCAGCAACAAGGCGCTGCAAAACAATGAGCTCTTGTAAACAGGGAGAGGCTCATAACTCAGATCCTTGGCGCTCAGCTACTTGGAGTTCATTCTTTTGTTACTAGGAGTTTTTTCTTCTGTCCCATCCCCTTTCTCTAAACACAAATAAGAGACACTTGGTCTTTTTTTGGAAGGGGAGGTGACCCTGAGAGAGTATGTTTTGTGACCACACATGTCTTCATTTACATCCCAGTTCTGCAACTTGGCAGCTTGGACAGTCACTTAATTTATCTGGGCCCAGTATCCTCCACATGGCAACAGCAGTCCACGTACAGAGCTGTTGTGAGCAGTGTTAAAACACGAAGGGGTTTGGTACAGTACGGCATGCAGGTGACAGTAGCTATTGCTTCTATTATTAATACATCCTATTCACATATTGGTAATGATGACAGAGAAAAAGAACACTGGTTGGGTGCATCTAATACTTGAGAGTGTGTGTACCTCATAGTCAGATGTCTGGATTCAAATCCCAGCTGCTTTATCTTTCAGTGGGAGTAAGTGTAGTTCCTTCTTCACAGGATGACTGTAGGTGCTTAGTACACTGCCTGGTAGGTAGGAAGCGCTCCTCTGCAGTCATTATTAATAACACTGTTGGAACGCTAAAGTGTTTAGAAAATTATTTTGTAACTTCCTGGGTGGTTACAAATCCAACCTTAAAGTACACGTCTGTGATGACACTGTAAATAATTTAAAGTGTAAATAATAGAAATACAATTACGAGATTTCTTGGGTAACTCACAATTGACATCATCATGCAGGGTTTTAGGAAAACAGAAACAGCAGCACCCCCATGGGCCAGAAAGAAAAGGTAGTGCATTCTGGTGTCACTGTTCACTGTGTGGGTGATAGTTACTCATTCCAGGAACATCGCCAGTGTTTCCACTTGGTTTTCTACGAGCCAAATGACAGAGTCTGCAGGCAAATCGCAGAGATGTTGCAACTCTTACTTCTCCAGGTTGCAGGGTACTTAGTACTGTTGTTTGATTTGATATTTACTCTTTGAGTTGTAACGTGTTCCCTCCTTTTTATTTAATGTGTCTAAGAATTTTTCTGTAATGAATTACAGATTCACATTTATCTGGAAAAGAATGGTCTAATATATTTGTCTCTTTAAGGAGATTACAAAATAATTTTTGCTCTTTATCGTCTTAGAACATGGTAACTTCATGTAATGAAAATGTGTTTTATCAGGAAAGAAATCACAGTAATTCTGGGGAAGGAGTGTTGTTGAAAAACAGTCTTGACAGCTGGTTAAGAGGGACTCAAAGATGCATGCTCTGGCTGTGTTTCATTAGTAACCATCATATTGATATATTTTCCAGTAGAGAGATGGGGAGATTGAGTGGCTCTGAGCCAGAGTAGGAAGCTACATAGTATGACTTAATTTCATCTGATTTGATTCAGGGAGGAGGAGAAAAGAGAAGAGAGGTTTCCTTAGTGATTTCTTCAGAACCTGAAAGGATTCCTTTCATGGGAATGTCAGTAAGGAATTTTCTCTGTGACCCTGGTGCTCAAGTGTGATCTGGTGGGGAAGCCTCTCCCTTCCCCTCCCTCCATGGATCTATGGTCCATGTGAACCTACCGGCTTCTGTTTTATTCTGTTTCATTCAGGAAGTTGTAGCTGTGTCCCTGATTGGGCGAACAGGAGCCCTTCCGCTGGCTCCTGTGTTCTTGCTACACACCCCCTGCCTCTCTCTTTCTCTCTTTTACCCTTTCTTTTCTTTTTCTTTCTTTCCTTACCTTTCTTCCCCATCCCTCCCTTCCTAATTTCTTTCTCTTTCTCTCTCTCTCTCACTCTTTCTTTCTTTAGGACTTTCTCATTTTCTGGCAGACAAGATGCTCACCCTGTAATTTGCCTGACACAGCCACGAACTTGGCCACTTCTCCCGGGACCCTGGTTCCCTTCAATGGGGAATAGCGTTTTAAGCTGGCATACAGTGCTAGGTGTGACCGTGATGTACTTGCCTTTAGGCTTGAGTCGTTTAATGTGGTGGACACGAGCTGCATGTGGCAATTCAAACTTAACATCACATAAAATAAAAAAAATCGGTTCCTTAGTGCACCAGTCACATTTCAAGCTGAGTAGCCGCATGTGGCTGGTGGCTACCACGCACAGAAATAGGCCATTTCTACCATTGCAGGAAGTTCTGCTGAATGGCACTGTCTAGACCCTTAGCCAGGAGATGATGAGCTCGTATGGATGTTCCAGTGCGAACCCAGCTCCAGACTTCTGCCTTGCCCTCCCCGTTCCGTGTCTGTGTCTCCCTGGCTCCCCAGCATAGCCCAGTCACTTGCTGTCCTGTCCTACGGCACACGTGAGATAGCTCCAGAATTGCTGTGTCTGTGCCACTTTGAAAAACAAATGCACTGAAAAGAGTTCAGCATCTGTGGGCAGCTCTTCTTTCTCCTTTGCTGAGGATATAACAGTACCACCCTCAGAAGTTACTTCTGAACATAATGAGACAGGTTGTTGTGTCAATTGAAATACAGAGTTGGGTTCATTCATTTCTGTGTCTGCATTCAGTTGTAGATTTTTTTTCCAACCTTCTTGTTTCCCTTTTTGAATATGTGGAACATCAACATGCTTCTAAAAGTCAAGACTGTATTAAGAAGTACTTGGAAAAGTGTTTCTCCCTTGCCTCTCTCTCCATTTGCTCCCTCCCACTGAAGGCAGTTACCTTCTTGTTTCTTTTTGTTAAAGTAAGCAGCTGCAGGAACGTCTGCTCGTTTCCCCTTCTTACACATAAAGTAGCATACCTGTTTGACCTCTGGTGTTCCACGCAGCAATATATTGTGGAAATCTTTGCATACCCCATCCTCATCCTTGTTTACAGATGCGTAGCACTCCATAGCTGCATGTGCCACAGTACCTCCAGCCAGTCCCCTTTGCTTGACGTTTAGGTAATTTGCAGTATTTTACAGTACTAATGCTGCAGTGGGTAATTTGTGGAGGGAGCATGTTGCTGATGTGTTTATGTCTGCATAAGCCTTGGAGGGGGCGGGCTTTTCATCACGGAGAATGCTGATAGGCCAGGATTTCTAGCTTCCAGAAAATCACCAGGGCCTTTGTATCAGGGCTTGTTAATAGCAAAATCTGTACTGTCTTGAGTAAAACCTCTCTAAGGCAAACAGTCAGAGCAGTTTAACAGCCTGCTAAATTCATATTGGTTCT